TTTGGATGGTAAGATACTACATATTAACTTTCATCCTCTTCATATCTGTTTGTGTTCAAGATGATCACAGAAATAGGTCATTTCTCCTCCCCTCCACCTACCTTCGTGATAACTATCCATTCTTAAAATTGGGTGTTTACAACTTCTAATTATTCATTCCCACATCTTTCCTGATGAAACTAAAGCATATAACTTTGAATAAATCATAAATTAGCATCAGCTAATATCATAGATACAGAAAACAGTTATTTGAATCTTCTTCTAGGGCTCCCTTCAGGTATATGAAATAATGCTGGATCCTAGAGTTGCATTTTCATACAATTTGTATTTATTTCATCTGAACTTTGCCTAATAGTTGCACAGGTCTTTGCTTCTTAGAATAAGAGTCTCAAATTGTTTAAGACTCAGGTATGGAGTCTTTCATGGCATGGAAAATCATAGAAGGCGTCGTGTAGTCTTCATTCATCCAGTAACCATTCATTAAGACCCCATTGTGTGCCTCGCTGGGCCACAGAAGACAAATTAAAGGTAGACATAGCCCTTGAGAGACATCACCTAATATACAAACACATACATCATACAGTAAACACTGTGGGCTTTTGACAGAGCCCGAGTGTGGATGACTTGGGTTTGGAACAAGACCAAAGAACTTCCGAGACAAATCAGAAGAGTCTTGAGTAAACAAAGACCCAGCTACAGACAGTGAAATCAAAGCCCATAGTGTAGACATGAGGCCAAGCTTTCAGTTGTTCAACAAAGGACTTTTACCAGAAGGTTCAAGTCCTGTTTCTTTGTCAGCCCAGCCTCTGTCCCTTCCATTCTTCGGGTGTTCATTGCAAAGTAAAGACCCTGCACACCTTATCCTAATTGCTAGTTCAGAGTCTGTGCAACAGGGAACACAACCAACCTCATCTGCTAACAGCTTCCTTAGAACCAGGACCAAACTGCTGACAGCTCAGTAATCTGTGGGATTCCACAGCCTATGACTGGGAGAAAATGAATGGTTCAGTCACTGATTGACTCTAATGCCCAAAGACAAGTTCCGTTTTCATCCCAATCCTTAAGGTTTAAGATGGAAATTAAAATTATATTTTCTTCAAGTACAGTGCCAAACACAGAGAGAACCCAATCCAGATTCACACAAGAACTTAGGAAGGTTAGGAAAATTGGCCAATACCAGTCATATTTCAAAATCTTTGGAAAATTTAATTTCTCAATTTGAAAACAAAAAAGTATGTATATGTAATAGTAGAGATTCTTACCAAACTGAAGGATTGACTAATTGTGGAGGGTTGACATATAGGAGATGAAGACATTATTAAACCACTAACAAATATTGCCAAACATGCCAAAATGATGTTGGGGCAGACTAGAGCATGTGATATTGACTAACCACAGAAACATAGGGATGGCATGTTTCTGACTGATGGTGCTGTGGCTCCCGAGTTCTCATCAGGTCATGGAAATCTCATGTTCACCGCTTCCTCTCTCACTTCTCAATGTACAAAGTAGAAGCTTGGGACAAAAGATCCAAACCATAGGATGCCACCCTAGATTCATAATGTATTGTTTATGTGAGCGCAAGCAGCTTAACTTCTCTGTGTCTTATTTTCCTTATCTATGGATAATAATGGATGCTTCTGTGGTGTAGTTTGCAAGAATAAAAAAATTAACTAATGCGACTTATAGGGCCTTACAGAGCATGTGCTTAACATTGTATGGGCAGAGCAGTCAACTGGGGAAACTTAAACAAATAGAGAAACATCTGGAGCACAGAAAGTACCCTCAGGATGTTTAGTACACTTGGTTTGGATGCAGAAGCATCAGAAGTGTTTTATCTTTCTAGGAGTTTCTAATAAAAATCTTATTAGTGTGTGTACATGATGTTGGCAAGTATACCATGGTGGGCACGTGTCTGGAGGTCAGAGGACAACTTTGTGGAGTCCATTCTCTCCTTCCACCTTCATGTGGGTTCCACAGAGTAAGCCCATGTTTATCAGACTTGTCTTTACCTGTGGAGCCATCTTTCCAGGTGTTCCTAAAGCTGTTCAAGACAAATGATCCTTCATCCCCAAGGAAACTGAGATCTAGAGCTGACAGACTTCACCAGGAGAAAAGATGAGACTCAGTCCTTACAGGAAACCTCCCAAGACCTTCCAGGTCACCGTAATGGACCAGTCACAGGCTGTGTGAGAAGTGTGTCTAGAGACGGTCTACAGTGTGAGATATTTCATTAAACATTCCTAAAATCACAGAAGCTTGGCCCTGATTGCCCTGAGAGCTGATACAAATACTTAGACAATGGTAGAGGTCACATAACATGTTTGCCTTCCCTTTCAAGTAAGGGCCTAAGAACCCACCTGGCCCTCCGCTATGCCTGGCAGGAGTAGGAGCTGAAAAAAGTACTTGATGCATGAACAAGTGGTAGATTTTTATAGTTCTACAGTGATGTCATTTGATAGGATTTCTTAGGGACAAGATTGACGACTCTGAAGTTGAGCTGAGGGCAGAGCGGACACTAACAAATCAGGCAGGAAAGGCCAGAAACCCATGGTAAAGGCCAGCAGAACTGGCCAGGAGAAAACATGTAGCTCCCGTTTAAGCCTTCAGTCTTTGAAGCACAGCAGATGTAAATCACATCAGGGAGCTGCAGCTCATATTTGGAGGTGGCTTTTAAAAAACCATTCACATGATTGGGCTCTCTCCCTCTGCCCTGCACCTTTGGAGCAGAGAAAGCTGTAGTTAAGTAGAGGAAGCCACCAAGAACTAAAGTGGGTGTTCTTCAGGAGATGCCAAGCAAGGCCTTCATTGGCAGGGTTCTTACCTGAGTTTATTGGGTCTCTTGCAAATACCACAGTGGGGCCTGAGGGAACGGTGTTTCTAAACTTGATATAAATTATGCATCTGAATAGAGAAGAGATCTCAGCCTTCATCACATTCTCCTGTTGTTGGCCATAGAGCCTCCTTTTCCTCCCACTCTGTCATACTCAAGTGGGACTCGTCTAAGTTCATTATTATTTGCTATGAGGTAGAGTTGAGAAGGCAGATGACATAGAGCTAACCCCATATAGGGCCTTCATAGAGTCCATTCACCCTGAACGGCTTAGAGCAGTGGTTCTCAACCTTCCTAATACTGCAGCCCTTTAATGCAGTTCCTCATGTTGTAGTGACCCCCACAATCATAACATCATTTCTGTTGCTCCCTCATAACTGCAGTTTTCCCGTGTTATGAATCGTTCTATGTTTTCTGATGGTCTTTGGGGATCGGGACCCACAGTTGAGAACGGCTGGGGCTTAGAGGCTGTCCAGCACAGACAAGGGCTGACCTTATGCAAGGCCTTCTTAGAGTCAGTGCACCCTGAGAGACGTAGACTTGCCCAGCAGAAAGAGACAAGGCTCTCGGAGTTCGATTTTACTGTCGTTTCTCTGTGTCAAGTGCTTTATTGTTATTTTTTTTCTCAATCCCACAGCAATCCTATGAAGTCAAGGAATTCCCCTACCCCACAGATAAGGACACTGAATCTCTGAGAGGCTGAAGCACTAAACCAGAATCCTAAAGGTCCTGTGTAATTCTCAAGCTTGAAATCAAGCTGTCCTGCAGCCTGAACTGTGGGCAGGCTGGAGGCAGCTTCTCTTCCCGCCATTCAGATTCCACACATGAAGCTCAGGGCCTGCCCTCTCCCTGACCCTGTCCATCAGAACAGGCAGGGGGTGCTGCAAATGAAGGTCTTCATGCCAAGGCGTAATCTAAGCGCTTACATAATTTAGCCCAAAGAGTCCCTCTAAGATTCCATGCTGGATGCCAGTTTCTGTCCCGAGATATGGAGTGTTAAATAAAGAAACCCCAGTTAACACCCTCTCCTGTTTCACTGCCAGAAAGGAATAAATATTCTCCAGTAGTCACAGGACAGAAGACTGGGAATGCTCTAAAACAAGGCTAATATGTTACGGTTTCAAAATTCATGTAGAAATTCTCAGCCACCTATCAGCAACAAAACAAACAAACAAAACCATTGCTTCCCAGGCACCAATAAAAGTGTGGCAACTGCATGTACCAAGGACACTCTCTGTCTTGGCCTTCCTTCTTCAAAGGCACCAAGCCAAACAGGACAGATGCTACCGTTGGAGAAACTGAGTCATCCCACATCACACAGCCAGTAACAGCAGACCCAGGACTTGAAGCCAGGCCTGATGACAGTACCCGTGCTCTTAACCATGTTCCTGTCCCCCTGGCTACACAGCCAAAGTGGTTTCTGCCGCCTGCTCAGTAACACCTCTTGTCTTGGTTTTTTTATGGGCAGAAATAGCTGGTCTAGAAATTTTGTCACCCTCTTGGGGAAAGGAGCCCTGGAAGGGACAGGTGGACTCAGCAAACACCTGATTCGTGGCTCTCTGCTACTCTCTCCCTCTGCCTTGCTAACCAGATCTCCTGACTTTCCAAGAACCTGTTTCCTTACCTCATGGTCAATCTCCACATTGTGGGGTTCTACAAGAGAATCAGAACCAAGTTTCAGGAGTGGTGCAAATGTTAGTTATTTAAACTGATCTGAGAAAAGTGGATTATAGTCCTTTCTCACACTCCAGGCTTGGTCGTCTGCAGAGTTCATGGCCACCACTTCTGCTTCCCCGCTCCCCATTGACTCCTCCTCAGTTTCCTCTCGGTGTCTGCAGTTCTCAGGCCTCGGGTGCTCACATTCTGGGGAGTTTCCGCGCTCCTTCTGACTCTGGATACAGAGTCTGCCTCTCCTTCCAATCCTGTGCTTTTAGCAGAGCTGCTGGGACACTTACAACAGCGCCCCGCCCTCCTCGAGGGGTGTGACCCGGGAGTTTAGATGGGAGTACTGACACTGAGCAACACCCAGCCTCCCGCTGGTCTTTCTCTGTTACTGGTCTTTCTCTGTTGTACACTTTCCGTGCCCCAGCGGCGCCCAGAGTGGCCCGGGGCTCCTCTGCACCTGGCCTGGGCCACAGCTCCCCTCCAGCCGGACGCTTCAAGAGCCATGAACGTGTCCTATCGCTGCCACGCATCCCCCTGGGTGGAAAATGGCTCCTCTGCGACCATGGGCAGCATGCTATTCGGCGCCGGGCTGCTGGGCAACCTGCTGGCGTTGGTGCTTCTGGTGCGCTCGGGCCTGGGGTCCTGCGGACCACGGCCGCTGCGCCCGCAACCTTCGGTCTTCTACGTACTAGTGTGTGGTTTGACAGTCACCGACTTGCTGGGCAAGTGTCTGGTCAGCCCGGTGGTTCTGGCTGCCTACGCGCAAAACCGGAGCCTACAGGAACTGCTGCCTACAGCGGGCAATCAGTTATGTCAAGCCTTTGCGTTCATCATGTCCTTCTTTGGGCTAGCCTCGACGTTACAGCTGCTGGCTATGGCGCTGGAGTGCTGGCTATCTCTGGGACACCCCTTCTTCTACCAAAGGCACATCACCCTGCGCCGGGGAGTGCTAGTGGCGCCATTAGTGGGAGCCTTCTGCTTGGCTTTCTGCGCACTTCCCTTTGCCGGCTTTGGGAAGTTTGTGCAGTACTGCCCTGGCACCTGGTGCTTCATCCAGATGGTCCACGAGAAGCGCTCGCTATCGGTTCTCGGTTTCTCTGTGCTCTACTCCAGCCTCATGGCGCTACTGGTCCTTGCTACCGTGCTGTGCAACCTGGGCGCCATGCACAACCTCTATACGATGCACCGGCGCCTGAAGCGCCACCCTCGCTGCTGCCTGAGAGACCGCACCCAGCCAGGCTCCAGTCAAGGTCTGGGGTCCCTGCATCCCCTGGAGGAGTTGGACCACCTCCTGCTGCTGGCTCTGATGACAGTGCTGTTCACTATGTGTTCCCTACCTTTCATTGTGAGTTGCTGGGCACGGAAGTTCTGGAAACTGGTCCTCTCAGTCCCGGGCCAGATGGAAAGATGGGGGTGGGAGGGATACTGCTGTAGCTCTAGGAGCTGCATCCAGTGTCGGATGCGGGGCAGTTGATTCTGGCCTCAACTCTCCAGGGGAGTGAACCTCCACAGACCTAAGATATGACACACCCCCCCCCCCATTTGTAGAGGGAGAAGAAGGAATGTCAGACAAAGGATGTTCCGAAGACATACGGGTGGTGTCTCCTGAACTCAGCAAAACCTTTTCCAATTGGCAGATGCCCCCTTCTCTCTGCTCCTGTCCGATGAGGTCTCTTGTGAGCCAAAGACCTTCGTCCTCTATTCCCCACCCCCGCACGAGCTATGCAATATTTTATTTTGTCAGATCCACCCTTTAATTTAGACGTCTTGGAAAGGGACTTCTCTGGGAGTTCCTCTCTGGACTTTGGCATAGAAGAGAAGGAAAGGGGTTAGTTCATCCTGAGAGGCTTACAAAAGTGAGCAATACACACAGATTTAGTTCTGAAAAACTCTAGGTTTGTGGCTGCTGCTGTACTACCCCCCACGGGGGTGGGGGTGGGGTTACAGCAGAGGCAGAGAAGTTACAGGAGGCCCCTTGTTTCCTTGTCTGTCTTGATGAGTTTTGTTTCTATCTTGGCCAATGAGATGGCAAAGAATCCCATTAACTTGGATCCAAATTACAAGGAGAAGATGGCAGAGGCTGAATGATGCAAAAGCTGCTGTTCCCAGATTGAAAGGAATGATTGTAATCAGATTGATGACAGACACCAAAAACCTAGAACCCCAATGAAGCTAAGCACTACTCAAATTATTAAAAAGAATTAAATTCTTCCTATTAGATATGTACTTTAAAGCTGTACCCAGTCATTGCTATTGCATCTTTAATTTCATCAGTTTCGTGTGGCAGCTCATGTTTATCTGGGGATCTGACTCCCTCTTCTGGCTCCAGAGGCACTAGGCACACATGTGGTACACAGACATACATGCAAACACAAGACCCATACACATAGAATAAGAAATAAAAATTGTGGGATATGTTGTTTTCTGGTTGTGTTAGTATCTACTGAATGTGCATTATTTGGCACAGTGCTCTATAAAACCTGAATCATTTATTCTCCAGCCCTTTACCAATAAAAATAAATTTAAAAAACTCCAGACCAGTAGTTGGAGCTCACTTATGCTGTAATGAAAGCAAAGAATAGCTAAATCCATGAGAGTTGGAAGCAGCATTTGGATGCTTTAATGTGGATAACTCAGAAAACAGTGTAAACCAGTGGAACAAACACAGCCTTTGGACACATCCATATCTCCTTATGGAATTGTGAGAATTAAAGGAACTGATATATTTAAAGACACTTTGGTAAAAAACAATTTTTAAAGTTCTGGATAAGTGTAAGCCAGACAGCATTCCTCTCAGGAACGATCATTTCCTAGAAGACCGAGGGATTGCTCAATGGCTGTTGGTCTGGGTCAAGTTTCAGCACTCACTGGCTATGGTAGTTGTTTATTTACTGGCTCTCCTCATCTGTTGAGGGATAGCCACACTAGTTCTGTGGGGTTGGCAAAGGCTAAAAATCACACACACACACACACACACACACACACACACACACACACCTATACAAGTACAGGCATGTGCATTCCATGATGCACACTTAGAGACCAGAAGGCAAGCTCAGACGTTGACCTTTACCAAACATTCTGATTGACACAGGGTCTCTTTATTTGCTGGTATGTATGCCAGACTAGCTGGCCAACAGCCTCCTGTCTTTCTGTGTTTCTGTTGCTGTGATAAACACCAAGACAAAAAGCATTTATTTCAACTTACAGTTCCACATCACAATCAATTGGAAGAAATCAAGGCAGGAACTCCAGGCAGGAACCTGGAGACAGGCACTAAAGTAGAAACCATGGAGGAGCATGGCTCACTGGCCTGTGCTTCATGACTTTCTCCACCTGCTTTCTTATATTCCTGCCCAGGGGTGGCACCACCCACAAGGGGCTGGGCCTTCCCCTATCAATCACTAATTAAGAAATGCCCAGCAGGCTTACCTACAGCCCCAGGCATTTTCCCAGCTGAGGTTTCCTCTTCTCAGATGAAGCTAGCTTCTGTCAGGTCGACAAAAACCCAACCAGGACACCCTGGGAGCACTAGGATTACAGATTTGCCTTGCCATCAACTTTATGGGATCTAGAGATTCAAACTTTGATCCCCAAGCTTTCACAGCAGGGCTTTTACCCACTGAGCCAATTCCCTAGCCCACACTGAGCAGAAAATCCCAAACGCTTCACAATCTAAATATTTTGAACGTGAATGCCATGCTGCAAGTGGAAACTCCTACAGCTGATTTCAAGTGATAGGCCGGAATCCAGACAGTATGCCTGTCTCCGACTACAGGTGTGGAGGACAAACATCTCATGAAAATGGTGGCTATGGAGGGCTGTGTTCTACAACAGTGTATTGTGGGATGTACATATTTCACATTCTGGGGGGAAACAAAAACCCATCTAGTCCCAAACAATTTGGAATAGGGGTACCTTTGTGTGTGTGTGTGTGTGTGTGTGTGTGTGTGTGTGTGTGTGTGTGCCAGCACCACAGAACCCAGTGTCTTGCCTCAGTATTGTTACTAATTTTGGTTCTCATTTATTATTATATTTCCTGGTGACTATAGCAAATTAATCAGGAAGTATAATCTCCTTAGGAGATGGCGTGGTAGTCTAAGGCAGCAGTTCTCAAAATTTTTATGGTCTAGGGACCTCTTAATACCCTTAAAAATTACTAAGGACCCATACAACTTGTATTTAAATGGATAGTGTCTGAATCTGTATCAATAACATTATATAGTAAACCTAGGAGTTGCAGGGTTTGAGGAGATGGCTTAGTTGGTAAAGTGCTTGTCATGCAAATGTGAGGACCTGAGTTCAAATCCCCAACAACCATGTAAAATACCACCAAGTTGGCTACAGAAACATCTTTTCAATGACTCCTAAACTCATATAAGGACACTCCTTCAAATTAATGCTCTTTTATATTTAAAAAATTTTATTTTTTTAATGATGTGTATATATGGGCACATGGTGTGTGCACATGATTTCTGCAGAAACCAGAAGAGGGCATTGGAACTCTTGAAGCTGGGGTCACTGGCAGTTGTACCACATGGGTGCTCAAACTGGACTTGGGTTCTCTGAAGGAGCAATAAATACTCTTAGCCTTCTCTCCAGGCTCCATATGGATGCTTTTAATGTAAATTACATGGATGTACAATTGCCAGTTATAGAATAATTTACTTCTAGGGCTGGAGAGATGGCTCAGTGGTTAAGAGCATTGCCTGCTCTTCCAAAGGTCCTGAGTTCAATTCCCGGCAACCACATGGTGGCTCACAACCATCTGGAATGAAGTCTGGTGCCCTCTTCTGGCTGCAGACATACACACAGACAGAATATTGTATACATAATAAATAAATAAATAAATAAATAAATAAATAAATAAATAAAAAAGAATAATTTACTTCTAATAACAACTGCAAGGACCTGAATAATAATGGCAGATTACTCGCCCAGGATTCGTGTGAAGTTCTGGGTTCAACCCAAGCATTGCATAAAAAATATGTAAAATAAGAGATAATCTAGTAGGATTGACATGGGTAAGTACTGCATAGGAAGAAAATAGTTTAGTCTGGCAAGATGGTCCAGCAGGTAAAGGCGCTTGCTGCCAAGCCTGATGACCTCAGTTCTAGTCCCAGACCACGCGTGATGGAAGGAGAGCACCAGCTCCCACAAGTTAGCCTCTGTCTTTCACATGTACGCTATGGTGCTACAATCCTAAATACGCAAAATAAATATATGTCTAATTTAAAAGGATAAAATGGTTTGTTTTAATTATACAACTATCATTCATTACCAAACGTTCTTGCATGATTGCAATTTTGGTTGAAGTTACATTCCATCAAACTCCTCTCTGAGGAGAAAACTAACAAGCATAAGACAGACACATCTGTGAACTGTTTGTTTCTAAATTAACCTAAGCTTGTGGTCCGTGTCATAGCCATACAGTATGTATCTGATACCTACCTCATCTGACACACTCTGTAACTCAGTGACATACAAAATGAGGAAAACATCCTGGTGCAGGCACAAGTTACAAGGGAAGAATAATAATTAAGGCTAAAGGAGAGTGTAGCAGAGGAAATGGGCAACTCCTAGTTAAGAAGATAATATGCTAATGTGAGATTCCCATCTGTATGCTGTGAATATGTTTTAGAGAGAGAGGCTTACTGGTAAGGGTTCGGCATCTTTCTCCTTCTGAAGCTACATGGTATCTTTCCTTGACTTTACCTACTCTCTCTATATCTCTTCCAGCCTGGCTATATTCTGTCCTGCTATAGGCCAAAGCAGCTTCTTTATTAACCAATGATAATAAAGCATATTCACAGCATACAGAGTGGAATCCCACGTCAATACACAAGCTAATTATCCAGTGTTTATTATATAGCAGACCTATTCCTGAAGCTCTCTTCACACCTTTTCATTCCACCGTCAGAAGAATCCTGGAAAGCAGGCACAACAAACTTATTTTTATAAAAATAAGAAAACCATATTTTCCCTGAAGCCACACATCTGAAGAGAGGACTCCAACCCAGATGTGTAGACCTTTAGCCAGTGGCTCAAAGAGGCTCCAACAATGTGTCATATTTGAAGTCAATTTGAAGGACAGCATGGTTTGGCTATTTAATCCATTTCCAGACTTGTCAAGTGGATATAATGACTGTTTTTACTCATAAGCCTTTTCTGGGGAGAAAATGAACATTTCAAAAGACATAGAACAATGTCAGGTAGTTAAAGGCTCTAAGTGGTCACCAACCTTTGTTATTGCTGTTGGCATTATGAAGCAAGAATGAGGAGAGAGTCTGCCTATCAGCAACAGATGAGGCCAATGTCAGGCATCTTCCGTATGCACTGGACTGAAGTAGCCATGACCACTGAAATGCTATAGAGAAGAGAGTCAAAAGCTGAGGAGATTGATTCTAGGAGTGTGTGCCTTCTCTAAGAGATGTTCCTGGGTGACCTTGAGTACTCTTAGCCACAGTTTACCCTACTAATACTGGATTTAAGTAGTTGCTGCCCCATTAGTGCCAATGTGTTTCATTATGGATTTAGATTCTCAGTAGGCATGGGAAATCTAATGCCAAAAGAAAAGGTATCTGGCCTCAGAATGGTGGTCTGGGGTTGTGCTGATTTAGGCAGTAACATGACCTAAATGGTAGGGAGATTCATGATTCGAGGCACTTTGCAGAGCTCTGAGGAAACCACAGAGACACAAGGTAAGATCAAAGCATAGGAAGTGGCTGGGCAAAGGTAAGAAGGTAGCTATCTTTGGGCATGCCCCCTCCCCCATCTTATATAGAATCTATCTTAATAAAAGGAAAAATTTCTAACTGTTTGGCAGGGGTGCACACTTTTAATTCCAGCACTCAGGAGACATAGGCAGGCAGATCTCTGTGAGTTCGAAACCAGGCTGTTCTACAAAGAGAGTTCCAAGACAGCCAGAGCTACTCAGAGAAACAATTTACATGAGGTGACCAGTTCTTTCATCTGGTCACCTCATGTCTTTTTATCACCATAGTTTCTGTCTTTTTACTTCTGTTCACAGTTCCATTTCTTGGTGTGTCCATACGTGCAGCAATTACTTCTAAATAAACTATTAAGAATGGACAGAGAGCTGGAAGCTAAACAAAGTATTCATGTAAGGACATTAGTTAAAGAACCTGTCTGTGGAAGCCTGGTGGTGTCTTCATAATCTGACAGCATCCTGGAGAACCAAGAGCAGAATTCAGAACAATCTTGAGAGAGTCAGTTAGATGGATGTCCCAGATGACCTCAGTTTCCCCACTTCTCAGGCTCCTCACCCACATCTACAGGTTGTCGTGTGAGAATTCCAGGCTAAGATAAGCAAAGTAAGAAAATCCGTTCCTTCCATCGGCCTTCTATGTCCTTATCTGTGTAATGGTTTTGGGTTTTTGTTTGTTTTTCTCCCCCAACAGTATCGTGCTTATTATGGAGCCTTTAAACTTGTCCACAAAACTGAAGGAGACTCAGAAGACCTCCGGGCCCTGCGTTTTCTGTCTGTGATTTCAATCGTGGACCCCTGGATTTTCATCATTTTCAGAACTTCAGTATTCCGGATGTTATTTCACAAGATTTTTGTAAGACCTCTGAGCTACAGAAACTGGCACAGCCATTCCTGCCAAAAATCCAAGATGGAGTCATCTTTGTGAGGGCTCTGCAGCTCTGGTAAGAGAGAACATGCCACACACTCAAAGAACCTTGATTGGAAAAAAAAAAAAAAAACCCTACAATTTAAATCCTTAACATTATCTCTCATGGGGAGCTGGAGAGATGGCTCAGCACTTAAGAGCATGCACTTCTCTTCCAGGGGACCTGGGTTTGATTCCCAGCACCCATTCAGAGGGCTCACAACTGTCTATAGCTCCAGCTCTAGGGGAGTCTGACGCCTCTGGCCTCCCTGGGCACCTGCACTCGTGTGCATATAACCACACAGAGACACAAGCACACACACACAGAGACACAGACACACATACCATTAAAAATAATAAAAGTAAATTTACAAATATCTCCCAAAACTAAAACATGTATTTTCAGAAGTATCTAATTTAACAATATGTTGTCAATTTGTATCCATAAACCGTATTTTGGTCCAGTTTAAAATGTACTAATAACAATAATTCAATGTGTATGTTGTAAACAATGTTAAAAGTATTATAGCAATGGCATTAATTGTTCCAACATTTGTATCTGGTGGCCCTAAATTTTTAGAGACCTATGGATTTTTATTTAAATGCAGTAGAAACATCACTGTCTGTTTATAATTATGTGGTAGGTATTCTTAAACAAACCTAGCAACAGCTCACATTGGTTTTTTCCTGTTAAAACTTATTTAATATCATAATTGCTCTTGTTTTTTATTTTGTTTGGTTCTGGTTTTTGTTTGTTTTTGTGAAATGACCTAAGAATAATCTGAATTATAGATGCTGTTCAGAGAAGTGAGTCGGGAAACCAGAACAGGCCAGGCATTTGGGGAGACCTCAGGGAGCTCACTGGCCTCCGGTGAAGATGGACAACTCTTGTGAAGTATGTATGAGGCAAGATGTAACTAAAACCCACACAACTCAAAATGGAGAAAAGAAAACTGATCTTCTGAAGTCTGGTCTCTTGTGGATGGAGGCAGAGATGTCAGTGGGAATCGATAATGTAGGTGTTGACTCTAAATTTTTCAATTCATGAAAACTCAGTGACGGATTCTTTGGAGGAAAGGATCCATTTCTTGGGAAAACTCTGGAATGTGACTTACCAGAGAGCTATATTATTTACCATTTCAGCTGTGTGAACTCACAGGGCATTTAGCACTGTAAGAGGCCCACTCAGGACTAAGCCTCTGTGGAGAGTTGGCGATGGACCTTACACTTGCCTATTACAGCTTCATTCTGTTTGTAGAGACAATGAGATGAGGCTCCTATGTGTAGCGCTTGCAGAACCAGAGCAAAGCACAGCCCAGAACACGATGGAACACTTTGATTACACATGAGTTTACACAGGTCAGCAACACTATGGCCGAAAGAGAAAGTGGGGGATGTCCCTGCAGTAGGATTGAAGCTTCTAAGTCCAGTTCACAACAAGAACTTCCACTTCGGTAACATAGAGAGTTTTCACATCCCTGTGCATCCTGAACACTCCGACTCTGAGACGGTCTCAAGGCCTCCAGCGGCAGTCCCTTCCAGAGACAAGAGGAGCTTGCATCTTTCCAGCTCAGCAGAAAACCCCCTCTTCTCGCCTCTGGTTTTTATGAGATCTCAGAGATGATATGACTGTGTGTGTGCATATATATGTATATATGTATGTATACATATGAATATACATATACTATACATATATATAATTTATAGCAAAACTGTGAAAAAGCCAAATTAGGGATATAGGAAGTATAATTTGAAAGTATAACACAATGAAAAATACAGTTGGTTTTGGTTTGGCTTTCATTTCTATGTTAAATGTGAATGATGCCTTTTTTTTTTTTAGCTGACGAAGTGCAGCTTTTTTGTGTCCTACTGTATGCTAGAACAATTGTCCAGATGATGTAATAAAGTTCCAGGTGAATAAATAAATGTAATTTTATGATATTTTGCGGAGGAAATTGTTTTTTAAAAAATAAAAGTCAAACATCTTGTTTTTTTATGAGCAAACAATTTCCAGCAGTATTTCAATCTCTATCTATGCAAGTGTGAATTTTCTTAAGTCCTATTGGCACTTACATTACCTTAAACAAAATTTCCTAGGCTTATCCAAGAGCCTAGTGTTCCTATTTGGTTTACATGAAATGCTGAGAAACTGCTCTGGTGAAATCCATGTCCAGTTTCAGTCCACTGTGCTGGGATCCTCACTGATTTATCATTAATTTATTTTATCATCTACACAGACCTCATGCCTAGCAATTGGTTAGGTGCGAGTTACTCATTGTCCACTAGAGGGAGACAAGACTGTAATGGTTGTAACAAAATTCTCAACAGTAAATGAGAATGCTGTGCCAAGACATCCCCAGAAGGGCCACACGGAGGCCTGTCCAAAGAACTTCACAGGGAACAGATGTTTCCTAAAAACCCTGAAAATGGGTAGACATGCCAACCCCAACTGAAAACTGCAAAGCACACTCAAAGACAGTCCACAGAAGCGGGAACACATACATATACTTCAGAAATGTAGAAAAACATTTAGCCTAACCAAAGAATTGAAAAAGGTGAATTAAATGATGGAGGACCAAGCAAAAAACATTGTGACTTGCAAAATTCAGAAGATCATTGAAATGTAAATATTCACAGTCCTCCAGTAAGTTTGTAAATTACTACACTCTTTCTTGGTAGCAGCCTTACTAAATGACAAGGAACCGAGAAGATCTAGAGGACCAGTGTTGGCAGAGGTTTCTGTTCTGCCCAGTCCTACAATAAACACAAAGAAACTATATTATTTGCAATACTTTTTGGCCAATAACTTAAGCATATTGCTTGATAGTTCTTATATCCTAAACTAACCCATCTCCATTAATCTGCGCATCACCACAAGGTCATGGCCTACCTGCAAAGTTTTGGCAGGCTCCAGCAGAGGTGTCTGTCTTCTGCAGCAGCTACAAGGCTTCTCCTTAACTCCACATACTCTCTAGATAGATAGATAGATAGATAGATAGATAGATAGATAGATAGATAGATAGATCGATCTTCCAGCCTGGCTATATTGTGTTAAGCCATTGGCTGAAAACAGCTTCTTTATTAACCAATGAAAGCAACACATATACAGAAAAACTTCCCACAGTATTTCCAATCTGGAATTGTGCTCCAAAAGAAGAAATAGAGATACTGACAGAATTATACTGAAAAAAAACTATAGCCTTTACTTTATGTAACAAAAAAATAAAACTGTCAGAATAAGGACCAAACAAAACTTCAAATATGCCTTAATTTACATATACTATATTCACTAAGCATATAACTATTTTAAAGTTTATTTCAACTAGCATAAGCACTAAGAATAAAATTTACCACATAACAATAATGATAAAATCAAGATACAAACTACTATAAATATGTATACACACACACAAATACCTTGCAAAAATAAATCAAAGAAACCATGAACCATAGTTGCTCTTGTCCATGGACATTTCCCCATGACTCTTTATGTTTTCTGAGATTTGAGACAGTAAGTATTTCTTTTATGTGGACGTATTTTTGAAAAGCTCTCTAGGACTAGACTGAGAAAATAAGAGGAAAGGCACCAAGACTGAGTTTTGGATCTGAAGGACCAGAATCCAGAGGTGTGCAAGCACAAGCAAGGGCGACCTATCTAGGACCAGTAGCTTCATTTGGCAGAAATATGCAACTTCAGACCTAAACCCGAAGGAGAAGAGGCTGAAAGAGTGGCAGGTTTCATACCATGAAGTAATGGGTGGGTCAGCAGTAGGGTTTGGTGTTCTAGGAGACTGTGGTTGCTAACTACTGGAGGCTATGGTGTGGGGGCAATCTGATGAAGTTGGGGTGGACTATTAATGGGGCAGACAGGGGCATGAGAATAGTTGTGTCAAGCCTGGGACAATTCTCTGTACCCATTCTCAGTAGTGGACCCTAGCTCCCAGCTAAGAAAATAAATGAGTTTAAAATGGCCTGGCCCTGGATTTCCCTGCTTTGCATCCCACCTGATCAGAGGAAGAGGAATTTTTATGGTGTGTGTGTGTGTTTGTGTGTGTGTGTGTGTTTTGTTTTACTTGAAGAGGGACACAGAAACTCTGTATGTGAAGGCCTAGAGAAGCCCAGCTGCAAGAGTCCCCTCAAAAGATAAAAATGAATTAAAGGATCAGTCTGTTTGGTCTTCAAATGTGAACAAAAATTAATGTTAGACACAGCAGAATTCAAGTCATTAAGTGTTAATGGTTCAAAGTCACTATTTGGCTATAGGATAGATCCAGTAGAATTACATCACAGCATGGTAGTTTTTGAACAAGCAGCATGCCATCAATATACAAAGAGTAGAGTATAGAAACATGATATCAAGTGTTACTACCATCACACATCAGGAAGAGGCAGGCAAGATGGAACTGGGTTCAGACAGCAGGAAGAGAGGAAATAACTGCTCAGGGGCTTAGGAGGCAGAGCTCCTGGGATCCCACGGTGACTCCTTAGGGAATCCCACCATGTGATTTGGGGGCTGTGTCCTTTCAGTTCCATTGCAGTTCACCACTTTCTGTCTGAGTTTCAGTGCTCACATAAACCAGGTAGGAAAACGAGAAACGTTCTGAAAATAGTGTTTTTCTCTCCCCTCTACATTCCCAGTTTTCCTGGACAATAGGTTACAGATCCTTATTGAGATTACTATAAATTTTAACATACCCTACCCAGCAGGGTTAAGAAAAGCTAATTGTCTTTGCTACTCTCTGTTGCTGTGATTAAATACTCTTACACAAGCAATATTTAAGAAAGAAAAGTTTACTTTGTTTTATAGCTGCAAGGAACTTCATCAAGGGAAGTCAAGAGCAGGAGTTTGAGAGCTGGTTGCACTGTGACTGGAATCAGGGAGCAGATGGTGCTCATACCCAGGTCATTTCCTCCCTCTTATTCAGTCCAGTATGTCGGTCACCCATAGTGAAGTGTGTCTCCCCACTTAACTAGCCAAATCAAAATAGTCCCTCACAGGTGTGCCCAGAGGCTATTGATTTACATAATAGAGCAAATACCCTAATAATCTTCCATGGGTGTACCTAGGGACATTTCTCCTAGGTGATTCCAGGTGCTGTTGAGTTGACAACACTAACCACCATGCTACTATGAAGATTATTCATTTAGTCACAGCTAAAAAGCCTACTTGCCAGGTATTCCTGGAACTCCAGGAAAATAGAAATTTTGTAAACATCAAAACCTGAACAACCTCCATACTCACCAGCCAGGCACACTAGATTGACTTCTCAAAGTGTGGTCCTGACAAGCAATAGAAGCTTCTCCACCTTAAAATTAGTAGGAATGAAAATTCTGGGTCCCACCTTAGATCTACTGAGTCTGATCTTTGGATGAGGCCAGCCACCTTCTCTGATTGGAACTGCCTTGAAAGAATGACTTTCTCTTCTCAGAATGGAAGACAGCTCTCTTCTAGACAGAGGAAAGCTAAGTTCATAGTTAAATGAGGTTTGGTGATTGGGGCTTCCTCTCCCTGCTTTTCACAACTGCCTAACTGGGTTAAAGACATCATCAGGTCTCATCTGTTATTGGTTAAGGGGAACATCCAATTTTTGAGACAACTGAGGATTCAGAAATCAGTCTAGTCTTAGAAACCATCACAAAGCAGGTATCTAGGATTTATCATGTCTCCTAGCAAAGAATGCACAAACTCAAAAGGCTTTGTTTTGTTGTTATCTCTATTACTGGAGTCCTAAAACTAAGGATAATCAAGCATCATCAAGAAAAACAAGAAATATCTTTTCAGTCAAGCTCATAAAATATCTTGATGGTTTCATACTTAGGATCCAGAAGTAGGAGGCAAAGAGAGAGAACTGGAAATGGCTGAGGCCTTTGAAACCTCAAAACCCATCCCTAGGATGCACCTCCTCCACAAGGCCACATCTCCTAATCCTTCCCAAACAATTCCACCAACTGGGACCAAGTATTCAAGCACATGGGCCTATGGGCCATTCTCATTCAAACCACTACAAAGGTATAATTTGAAAACAACAAAGCCTCAAATCATAAATAATTTATAATTACCCTAGTACTATACTGAACAGACAACTGAGCAAACAATGAAGCCACTACCCTGCCTACATCAATTTAGTATTGGTGCAACAGGCCTCACACCTTAGCACAAATGTCACCATGATGAAAGAACCATTCAGGTCTTGAAATCAAGTAAATAGACAGCAACACCTGCCAAAATGAGAAAAAAGACATAATCCACCAAAGTCCCATGATTCTGGGAAAGTCTCTAAATGTATTAACCTAACTTTTTGGCTTCTGTAGTTCTGCTTCTGGCTAACAAGTATTGCTAATGAGGTGTGTCAACGCGGGATGTAATTTTTGTTCTTAAAAGTTTACCCTGAGACAGTCTCACATGACACTGGGACCCCAGACACCAAGGGTATTATTGTCTGGCTAATAAAGACTTTTTATTGCTTTGAACCCATGTCCAAGTAGTCTTCTCTGACATATATCTCACAGTATTTCTAGAGGCTCCAGCAAGATCGCCAGAGACCAGACCTGGAGCAACTGGAGGTCTCAGAGCCCCTTGGAACTGGGAAGAATGTGATGGTCAAGGAACTCCTAGGAGGTGCACAACCTGA